TGAAATGAAGCACGATGCCTTTACAAGTTGCAATAAGCAAGCTTTCACAATCATTCTTTTAATGTACCGTATTCTCCCTCACAAAATACCCCCCGAAATTGTACACCCCTCAGGTAGCTTGTGCGGGGTGGGTGCTATGGGCGACCTCGTTTCTACTATACCCCCCTTAATGGGTGATTCTTCATAACAACCCCCTTTTCTTACACATTCCTCATTATAGTTGTTAACGAGTAGATGCAGGTACTGGAGGACATCGCGAGAATCTCTCCCTCAATAAAATTTCGCGGTTCTTTCACTTCAAATCTGCCGAGATTTCCCCCTTCCACTATTTCGCTGTCGCCACGCGCTAGTGAATCTTTCGCTGCAAGTGGCCAGAGAGGTGCCACCTGACACTTTCGAGGGGGTGATAACGTTCGCATCGAAACTCACATTCGCGCCTCAACCTGTGATGTTAAAACTCTCAGAACTTAGGCTAGGAATGAATGCATTAGGTCAAGGAGGGGTACAAGAAGAATGTCGAGAAAAATACTGTACCCCCTAGTGCTACCCCACTACAGCCTACAAGTGTATAACCCCTATATAATTTGACACACCCCCATAGGCAAAGTGGGGGAGAACAAGGGGTCACAAGACCAGTCAAAGCAAACAAGCAAGCTCAGGGTGGATCACAACGTCACCACACTCTCTGAGCACAAGCAAAAGGCCACAAGGCCAGTTCACATGCAGAGATATATATACAACAATAACATCACAGTGATCACAACCTAGGAAGAACAAGCATGCAGGTACATATATATATAGATCACAGTACAAGCAAAGTCTACAGCAAGTGTGGGAACGTAGGCACAAGGCCTAACAAAGTACAAAAACGCTTATGATCACCAGACGGAAGTGCCTTGGTGAATATATCAGCAGTGTTGGCCTGAGTGGCCACGTGTGCAAGACGAAGCTGACCACGCTGCTGCAACTCTCGAGCCAGGAAGTAACGCAGAGCGATGTGCTTCGTTCTGTGCTCCAGTCTGTGCTCCTCACACAAGGCAATGGCAGCCTTGTTGTCGACGTACAGAACTGGAGGAGAACGAGGCCTCTCTCCCAAGTCGGTCAGCAGGTAGGTGAGCCAGCGTAACTCCTGAGCAGCCATGGCTGTGGCGTAGATCTCAGCCTCACAACTGGAGCTGAGAACAGAAGACGAGCGGGTAGAACGCCAAGAAACAGAACCAGAGCCGAGGCTGAAAGTGTAACCCTGTGACGACCGCTGCGTAGCCTGGTCATCAACCCAAGAAGCGTCTGAGTGCCCAGTGAGGACCACCTCTCGCCGTCCTCCAAGCACGAGCCCCATGCCCGATGTACAGCACAAGTAGCGCAGTACCCTCTTCGCAGCATCCCAGTGCACCTTTCGGTGCCGACCAGGAGCCACGTAGCGAGCCAGAAGGCCAAGAGGGTACGCAAGGTCAGGACGAGTGCAAGTCATCAGGTACATGAGGCAGCCCACTAGCTCTGGGTAAGGACCACTCGGCTCTACGGACTCGTCCGAAGGTGGAGCTGAGAGCGAGTGACCTATAGCCAGAGGAGTGGACTGTGGCGAGGACCAGGTGAAGCCGAAACGCTGAAGGACCTGCTGCACCATGTGTGACTGAGTCAGTGTGATGGTGCGGCGTGCTCTATCCCGGGTGATCTGCAAGCCAAGGTAGCTGCGCAGCTCACCCAGGTCTGTGCACGTGTGTCTCTTCTGCAGCTCGGACTTCACCAGGGCGAGGGCCTCAGTGTCAGCAGTAGCAAAGACCAAGTCGTCGACGTACACGAGGATATAGAACGGCGGCAGCGAAGTGTTGGTGCGCAGAAACAGTGACGGGTCAGCAGTCGAAGGCGCAAACCCAAGAGCCGCAAGTGTAGTCCTCAGTGTGTCGTGCCACTCACGGGGTGCCTGGCAGAGACCGTAGACTGGCCGGCGGAGGCTCCACTGGGTACCAGGAGGGAACGACCCAGTGAAGCCAGGTGGGCGGCGCAGCCGGATCTCCTCGTGCAGGCTGCCCTGTAGAAAAGCTGTGCTGAAGTCAAGAAAGTGAAGCTCGTAGTCACGCTGAGCGGCAACGTGCAGCAGCACCCGAAGAGTAGTCATCTTCGGGGTGGGGGAGAAGGTCTGGAAGAAGTCAACTCCCTCTCGCTGACTGAAGCCTCGAGCAACGTAACGAGCCTTGAAGACAGGCGGAGAACCTGGCGGCCGCTTCACCCTGAAAATCCACATGCCATCGACGATGTTCGCCCCGGGAGGGGGAACCTCATCGACGTAAGTGCCTGTGGACTTCCAGGCTAGCAGCGTAGTCTAGACGACAGGCAGCCGTAAAGTCAACAAGCTCATCAACCAAAGCAAACGCAGCAGCAGACTCAAACGACGGGTCAGTGACAACAGTGGCGAGAAGACGCGTGACAGTAGGGTGCTCAGCACGAAACCGGTCAGACTCAGGGTCCGGAACGTGAGGCAAGGAAGACGCAAGAGGAGACGGCAGAGAAACAGGCGGTGGAACAGAGGAAGGACGACGAACGATAAGGTGTGCGGTGGGGACAGGCGGCGGACGCGGACGCGGAACACGACGAGTGGAACTACTAGGACGAACAGGCGAGACAGGACGCGACGTAGGCTCACGACGCTCAGTAAGGCCCCCTGACTGCTCAGGGTAAGGAGAGGGAGCAGGCAGCGGCGAGCCAGGCAGTAACGGAAGACCAGTAGAAGACGGAAGACTAAGAACCTGGCGAAGCACAGAGTCAGGGGGCGGCTGAGACGACGGAGACGGCGGAGCGAAGAACAGTCGCGGCTGTGCAGTACCAGCAGCACCAGTAGCTCCAGCACCTCCAGAAACTCCAGCACCCCCAGCGCCAGCTCCTCCAGGACCAGCTCCACCCGTAACAGTACCCCCAGAACCAACACCCCCAGTCCCAGGGTATCTAGCCGCAGTGTCCCCAGCAGCGGCACCCCCAGACACAGTACTCCCAGCCCCAGCAGCTCCAGTACCTCGAGTACAAGCACCTCCGGGACCGGTGACTCCAGCACCTCCGGTAGGCAAAGCACCTGTACCACTCCTAGCTCCAGGGACGTCAGCAGAAGGACCTCCAGCAGTAGAGCCCCGGGCTCCAGTAGTGCGACCCTGACGGCGACCGTACCAGTCGTGCAGCTGCTGGGAGGTGAGAGGCACACGCGGACGAAGGCGGCCACTCCAAGGGGACCGCACACCAGCAGGCTCAGCACCCTCAGACCCAGCACCTCCAGGCTCAGCACCCCCAGATTCAGCACCCCCAGAACCCTCACACGTAGGCTCCGCACCTCCAGGCTCCGCACCTCCAGGCTCCGCACCTCCAGTCTCCGCACCTCCAGACTCCTCACACGGCTCCAGGCTCAACACCCCCAGGCTCCGCACCTCCAGGCTCCTCACGCGCAGGCTCAGCACTCCCAGACGCAGCACCTCCAGGCTCCTCACGCCCAAGCTCAGCACCCCCAGGCCCCGCACCCTCAGTCTCCTCACGCGTAAGCTCCGCACCCCCAAGCTCAGCACCCCCAAGCTCCCCACCCCCAGGCACAGTACCCCCCACGACAGCACCACCTCCAGCAGGACCGGAGTCACCAGTGACCTCAACAGGTGCAGGCACGGGAGGGTCTACCTGAGAAACACCTGAGGGAGCAGGACCTGGCGCGAGCAGGGGGTATACCTGGGGAGAACCTGGAGCGAGGAAGAGCGGCGGGGGGGTGCGAGGAGAAGTACGGTAGGGAAAGAGACGGTAGAAGGGAACGGACTCGTCAAAGGTGACGTCCTGAGACGCAAAGACACGGCGCGAGGTGGGCTCGTAGAACTGCCAGCCAGGCGCGTCAGGAACAAAGCCAAGTAAAACACAAGGAATGGCGCGAGCGGAGAGCTTGTCCGCAGTAGTATCGCGGACAAACGCACGAGCACCCCAGACCCGGAAACGCGACGCATCGCCAACCTTCCCCGTCCACAGCAGCGTGGGCGAGGTCTCCGGCAAGGAGACACGGGGCCAGAGGTTGAGCTGATGCGCGGCGTACCGGACCGCAAACGGCCACAGAAAATGGGGAGCCGCCGCATGGATCATGGAGGTACGAGCGGCCGGAAGAGGCCGGAAGCGTGAACGACTGGGTGATGCCGTGCTCCTCACAGAAGGCTCGCAAGAGGTCGGAGGAGAACTCACCACCTCTGTCAGAGTGCAGACGCAAGACAGGAAAGTCCGACTGGAACCGCTCGCGGAGCTGGAGACGAGCAGCGCGGAGATCTAGGGGATCAAAACAGCAGGGACGTCCCCCTTGCTGCGCAAGGGGAAGACCGTGGTGTAGCGCGTGTAGTCGTCAACTACCAGCAGGAAGTACCGCTCGCGGCCCTGCCCCTGGACGCGGGCCGGGCCCCACACGTCCAGGTGGAGAGTCTGCAGTGGAGCCTCAGTGGGAGGGAACGAGGAGGAGTGAGGAGCGGCGCGCTGCCGCCCCTCGACGCAAGGAATGCAGGGCGGCGCAGGCGAGGGAGGGAGGGCAGGGAGAGACCTGGGAAGGCCAGAGACCAGGCAGCGAGAGTGCATGCCACGAAGGCGAGGCAGGGAGGGGTGACCAAGGCGGTGGTGCCAAAGGAGAGTGTCGTGGGACAGGCGGCGGCACTCACACTGGGTAGCAACCTGAGCAGACGCGTACAGCTGTGGAGACAAAGGAGTGTAGCGTGAAACAGTGGTGAGGGTGTACAGACTAGACCCTGGCTCACGTGTGAACGTGGCCAGGTGGCGGCCGGTCTTGGAGCATGTACAGATCGCCACACGCTGTCCTCCAGGAGTCCAGGTGTCAACCCAGTGATCCTGAAGGACGGCGTTGCTCACCAGGTTTGTCCGCTGCTTCGCTAGGCTTTGCGCGCCAGGCGTCACTAAGCCTAGCGAAGCAGCGGAACTCAGTGTGAAAACCGTCGCAGGTGCGACCCTGGCGGGGACCTGTGCGAATGACATAGGGGCAGCGGTCAGAGCCCTTAGACGCCCCACGCCCAGCATACCAGTCATTGAGCTGCTGGGAGGTGAGAGGCGGACGCTGCTGCTGCTGCTGTGGCTGCTGCTGCTGCTGCTGCTGGCCGCCACCAGCGCCACACTTCTGGCCAGATCCACCTCCACCCCCACCTCCACCACCAGTGCCGCTGCCTCCTCCCCCACCACCTCCGTTGCCGCCACCACCGCCCCCGGTCCTGCCACCACCCCACCCACCACCTCCACTCCCACGGCCACCCCCACCACCGCCGCCACCCCCGCCGCCTCCACCACCGCCCCCTCCACCGCCACCTCCGCCACCCCTGCCCCCCATGCCACCCTTGCCTCCGCCGCGCTTCCCACCAAGAGTAGAAGCGGCGTTGACCTTGTCAGCGCCGAGAAGGTCAACAGCAGCAGCAGCAGAGGCATAGGAGGGGGTAAGAGGGGAGGGGGAGCATCCCTCAAAGAGGGGAGTGCGGGGAGTGCCACGAGCAGCATTCACAGCAAGAATGTTCTTCTCAGCTGCAACTAGCTGCTGCTCGAAGTCATCTAGGGTGATGGTGGGAGGGTCTTTGGCGAGGAAGTAGTCCCTAACGGAACGGAGCGTGTCGGGAAGGCGGGTGACTAGGATGTAGAGGGTAAAGTACAGGGGGGGTTTGTTCTCGGCGAGGAACTCGTCAGAGAGAGCGGCACGAAAGCGAGCGTCACTAGTGCGGAGGTGAGAGATGAGGTCTGCAGCAGTGGAAAACGAGGCGAGGTCGGGGAAAAGGTAGGGTAGGATGAGGCTACCAACGGCGGCAGTGGCTGGGGCGGAATAGCGGGCAACTACTGCGTCAAACAGTTCCTTAGCAGTCTTAAGCTGGTTGAAGTGTGCGCGCTCGGAGATAGGCAGGTGGTTGCGAATAGCTAGGCGGGCAAGGGCATCGCGGGTCTGCCATTCAGCGCGTTCAGAGGCAGGAGCAGTAGCAGCGGGAGCAGGGGCAGTGCCATTGACATAGTCTAGCAGAGAGGCTCCGTCCTTGGTATTAGTCAAAAGGTAGAGCTGCAGGTCACTGAGCCAGGTGTCAAACTGAACAGGACTACCGTCAGGCTCAAAGTCGAGAACAGAAATAGTCGCCATGGTCACAGGGCGGGGAAATGCAGCAGGCACAGGCTCAGGCTCAGGCTCAGGCGCAGGCAGCAGGCAGGCTCAGGCAGCAGGCAAAGGTTGCAGGCTCAGGCAGCAGGTAACTGTAGCAGGCTCAGGCAGCAGGCTCAGGCAGCAGGCAAAAGGCTGCAGGCTCAAGTAGCAAACAACTGTAGCAGGCTCAGGCAGCAGGTAAAGACTTCAGGGCAGGCAGGCGCTCAAGGCAGGCAGGCGTGCTGCGCACGGGCGGCAGTGGCGCACAGGCAGGGCAAGGCACGTGCAATTGCGAGCTGCGCGCGGGCTGATAGAGCGCGGCGCGGGCTGCGCGGGCAGTGCGCGAGCTGCGCGCGGGCTGCGCGCGGCTCGGCGCGGGCTGCGTGGGCTCGACGCGGGCTGCACGGGCGGTGCGCGGGGCAGCTGCAGGCCGCGCGCGGGCTGCGCGGGCTCAGGGCGGGCTGCGCGGGCGACTAGCGGGGCGCGACGCGGCTGGCAGCAGTGGCGCGCTAAAAAAAAAAAAGGCTATGCGCGCGCGCAGCCGAGGCGCGCGCGGGCAGCAGGCAAGGCAGACAGGCAGGCAAGGCTGATAAGGCCATAGGTGAGGTAACACGATAACCGGTGGGCCCAAATCTTAGGTCCTAAGACCTACTGCTCTAGATACCATCTCAGAACTTAGGCTAGGAATGAATGCATTAGGTCAAGGAGGGGTACAAGAAGAATGTCGAGAAAAATACTGTACCCCAAAGTACGTGTTGGCTACCCCACTACAGCCTACAAGTGTATAACCCCTATATAATTTGACAAAAACTACTATGGAAACGCTCAAGTTGTCTAATTGAGAAACAACTTACACTTTTATATACCATGTATATCCACCTGGGTATTATGTAGCTTTTTCCTATGAGAAGACCCCCCTTTTTTCCCTGAATTTGTAGCTATCCTGTCCTAGGGTGTTATGTCCGGGAGAATACGGTACTCTGTAGCATGTACAAAATCTGTAGAAATAACCCAAGTGACAGCTTCATTGAATTCGGCCGACCTTGGGGCTGATGCATTCGTCGGCATCACGTGCCACGTAAGGGTCGTAGCAAAGCTATCTATGCTGACAACATCCCTCCCTGCTAGCAGCATCTAACCCCCCAAATTCGCGTTTTGCAAGGGTAAAAATGTACGCTCTATTTCAAATTTTTACTATATTACATTACAGTTTCGATTATAAGGCGCATATGTCTTAACTTGTACACGCACAGATGTATCCTATAAAGGAAACACCCAAATATAAGAAATACCCCAATCAAAGACACCCCCTGTCTTCAAATCGCCACTGTCTTATATCCGGGCGCTTACAATATAGGCAGTTGCGCATGCGCTGGCAGCAAACCACAACATGATTCATGTTTTTTACAGGCAAGAGAAACAATGACGCGGGTAGGCTACAGTAGACACAGAAGTGCGGGGTGTTGCGATGAGAAGTTTGATCGTGTCAGGATCACCTCATTAAGGTTCGCTCGCACAAAGTAAATTGCAGCGGAAGAAATCATCTCAGATCAAAGTGAATATAAATTGTCTGAAGTTATTATAACAAAGGCATCCATGGGTTTATAAAACAATACCAAAGGGAATTCTAAACGACCTAGACTATTTATGTACATCAAGGCGTACATTCCCTTCTTGCACATAAACTCAACCGCGCGAAGCAGTTAAAACATGTCCCCACCAATTCCTTCGTGCTGCAGCTGCCCGATGCTTCTACTCCGACGGTCCCGATGCTTCCAATCTTATGTGACGTTTCACTTAAATTCGTCCCTTCACATTCGTACTAGCTATTACACACTTCACTTGCTACTGATAGGGATGCACTATACTTCTCATTTCATTTATCATAATACCCCCTTCATTCATGTCTGTAGCAAGACTGTCAAAATAGTATGTAGTGTTAGGAGCCATAGCTAGGAGAGTCCTAGCTAGGCAAGAGACAGTTTAGGCAAAAGAAGAGGGTTTTCACTAGCAGCAATGAGGATACATATAGCAAACCCTAGATGGGTTGTACTCGCTACAGAGCACCCCACTACAGGCTAGAGAATAACATTCTGACACACCCCCATAGCCAAAGTGGGGTGTAATCAGCAGAGCAAACAAAGCAGTACAAGCTCAGGGTGGATCACAATGTCACCACACATTCTGAGCACAAGTTCAAGAAGCAATAGTTTAAAGTTCACAATTATGAGCAAAGCTAGTGGTAGTCACAACGGGCAAGTGAGGAGGAGGAAAGAGACTATGAGAGGAGAGGAGGTAGTGGGCGGCAGCTGAAGCTGCTGGCACACGGCGCAACTGGAGCAACTGGCACACGGGCAACTGGAGCAACTGGCACACTGGCAACTGGAGCAACTGGCACACGGGCTACTGGAGTAACTGGCTCCGCGGCTAAAAGTAGCGGCAGACGAGCAACGGACTCACGGGCGACTGGAGCAACGGGCTCACGGGCGACTGGCGCAACGGGCTCACGGGCGACTGGCGCAACGGTCTCACGGGCGACTGGAGCTGCTGGCTTGACGGCGGCCACCCCCTTCAACCTCCCCAAACTATCCCACTCCCCCTAACACACACCCGCTGCTACACCGCTAGCTCCACTCCCCTTTCACCCCCCCTTAGTACCACTCCGACGGCTCCAACAGGTCCACCCCCCTCAGCGGCAGCTGCAGCACAGGGAGACGGAGGAGGAGGAGGAGCAGGGAACGGCACACAGAAGCTGCACCCCCATACCCCCCAACCCCAAACCCTAATCCAGGAGAACGGGCAGAAGGAGGGGTGGGGCGCCTTCAGAAGCACGGGGGACAGCGGGGAGGACAGGGGCAGCGAAGAACGGGGCGCCCACGGGCCTGGCACAGCCTCCCGAACCGCGCGCAGGCGGTCCGAGCCGCGCGCGGGACTGGCGCAGCCCGTACGGGCCGCGCGCGTGCCTGGCGCAGCCCGTACGGGCCGCGCGCGGGCCTGGCGCAGCCCGTACGGGCCGCGCGCGGGCCTGGCGCAGCCCGTACGGGCCGCGCGCAGGCCTGGCGCAGCCCGTACGGGCCGCGCGCCGGGTGTACGGGCCGCGCGCAGGCCACGACGGGCGACGGGGGGCGACGCGCGGGTCCCCGTCGCCCGTCGCAGCGCCTCCCGGGGGCGACGCGCCGAGTGACGGGGCAGAAACCCGCCGCGCGCCTCGGGGCACACGGCGGGCAGAGAACCGCCGCACGCCTCGGGGCGCACGGCGGGCAGAAAACCGCCGCGCGCCTCGGGGCGCACGGCGGGCTGAAAACCCTAATTTCGACGCCGCGCACCACGGGGCGCGCGGCGGACAGGGAGTAGCAGTAGCAGCGGAAGCAGTGAAGTGGGCCCACAGGCCAGGAACGTTAAGCTCTGATACCATGTCAAAATAGTATGTAGTGTTAGGAGCCATAGCTAGGAGAGTCCTAGCTAGGCAAGAGACAGTTTAGGCAAAAGAAGAGGGTTTTCACTAGCAGCAATGAGGATACATATAGCAAACCCTAGATGGGTTGTACTCGCTACAGAGCACCCCACTACAGGCTAGAGAATAACATTCTGACAAAGACTTGACTCGCTTAACCACTTCGTTGAATTCGTAATAGTGTTGATACTGTTGACGGGGTAGTTGCTTTGTAAGGAGGTCGGCTGCCATGTCACTGGTTAGGCAATAGGTCAGATCGGCCTTGCCCTGGTTAACTTCGTCTATGATGAAAAACACCACAGGGCAATGTGTTTGGTGCAATTGACGAATCCCGATTTATTCGCGATCCGGATAGCGCTCTGGTTGTCGCAATGCAGGCAAAATGTCGGAAAGTTGGATTTTTTGTCCCCTGCAGGAGGTCCTGTGGGTAGGGCCCTTCGCGAACTCCTATTGTCGCGACGGTAAATTCTTATTCTGCTGGTGACAGGGCAACTAGTTCCTGCTTCTGCGAGTTCCTCAAGATGGGGCCTGCTGGCTCGAGTTGGAACACGAAACCAACCCTGGACCGTCGATTGTCGAGATCATTGGTATGACCGGCGTCCAAGTAGCTGATGAGGTTGAATGAGGGAGTTGTGACTGTGGAGTAGCAGAGCCCAATGTTGGGCATGGAGATGAAGGATTTCAGAGCGCGGTGAAGGTCTAGGGGATTTTCAGCTGTTGGTTTACAAGAGTGTTAAGCCAACTGGCTCGTGATGTAGGAGAGATATGGCCTGAAGGTCACTAATGCAAAGAGCAGGCACCCTAGCTGCTGCTGGTGGGTGTGTTGTCCTGCGGAGGATAGGGCTTTGTTGTCAGGTTTGTGGTTCGGTCCAAGCGTGCAGCAGGGAGTTGAGAGTGGTGCGCAGGAGTTGTTAAATTGCTTTGCAAGTGTTTCAGCATACTTAGCAGCTGAGGGCTGAATGGCTTCAGAGGCGTAAGAAATATTAAGGCATATGGCTGCTTCACGTCGTGATTCGTGGTGATTGAGATAAAGAAACCGAAACCGTCCTGTGTCTTTGTGTTCGTGATTATTGAGATAACGATGAACACCAGCGTGATGGAGCTCGAGAATCCATGTTGTGCCATCGGGACTCGCGCAAACACAACACAAAGATCGGATTTTGCGGCCTTCTCCTTGTCCTTGCTTTTCACACCACCTTTGGTTCCGCCCTTTTCAACTTCAAGCAGCACCAAGTACTTTTCGAGCGCATCAAGTCCTCATTTGTCATCCCGACGCGTGCTCACTCTCACGATAACCGAACGAAAAGAAACGCTAATGATCACAACAGCGAATGATATATAGTGCTTTTAGCATACGGAGAGCTACTAACGTCTTTAAATATGTGATTTATGGCACTAGCGACTAGCACTCCTGCAACATGGCGGGCTTGTTGCTCAGTCCGCGACTTACCTTATCACAATCTAAAACCGTCAAGCAATCTAGCGGATAAAAAATAGTTGACATCAGGTTAACAGTTCGAAAGAATGGGCCTCTATTAATGGATAT